CAGCGAAACTAACTAGCCCATACTATCCAGCATCACTCCCCCATGATCAAGATCAATAACCTCGAGGTCAAAAGCGGTGTCAAGATGCGAGCAAAGACGTCATGAGAATAGACAAGGGGAGCTATGACCAACATCGAAGCTATACCCGCCAAGCATGGCATTTAGATAACTCCAACTTGACACACAAAAGAGGGCTAAATGCAATCCTCAAAAGGCTGAAATGTCGCTGTAAGACAACAAGATAAAGTATATACCCCAAAGGGCAATCGCCGGGCGTAAGCGGAACCGCCAAGACAGCGCTGTCTTCTTTTTTCTCCGCCTTGACGCATCATAGATCAAATGGCGATAGGTGAAAAGGGCTCTTTGGACAAAATGTCCCCGCTGTACAAGCTCACATCCAAGGTTGCTCACAATGAGTGCGATCCTTCAACCAAGACCAAGGTGAAGACGGTGGTGCTGACTGGCTTACGCCCGATGTGGGTTTCAGACCAAGGCGAAACGGGGTATATCAGTAAGCGCAGCGTCTTCAAGCTTCGTGATCTTCTGTGTTTCTTCTTTAGTTTTCCTTTTTTCATGGTTTTAAATCCTAGATCAGCCCTATAGTCAGCAAGTTAGTGGCTGGGCTATGTCGGAATTCCGTGGTGTATCGAGCCATGTAAGACGCTGGGCCACAGAAGGATTCGAGCTAGGCCTGTCATTAGAACTGCGTCGATTAGATTAGATAGTTGAAAGTAGAGCGATTATGGAGAACAAGATCCACATGGGAATAAGACAACAAGACGTCGAATCATGAAGCTAACCATTCGAAGGATCTGCTCATGCAGAGTTGTAAGGCTCTATTGTATGTATAGACAGAGGCGTGCGCATGCTACTCTTTCTTCTGTTTGGATGTTGATCTGAAAGGTGGCACGACTCTTCCAACGAGGCCTAGTGCTGATGCCTTGTGTCTTCTCGGGACCCCGAACTCGGACTCCCTTTTCTCTCCGTCGGACTTGGTCTCCCAGGAACCATCTGCTCTGCGAAGATCCCCTCTTCATGCAGCCCGAGTCTCCCGGCTTATCCACGACGAGATGCAAAATGCACCAAGACACACTTTCTCTTCTCCCTTCCACAGCGCACACCTCACGCCCTGTAAGCCCTAGGGCTTTTGATCCCGCCTGGTACCCCGCCGGCTTTTGCTCCCTCTCTCCCAGTGGCTCGCTCGCCATGAGAGATGCATCATGCCAGAGCGGAATGTATCTCGAGAAGGGCAAAGCTCCATGTCCAGACGGACCTGTCAAGCAGCATGCGGCATGCCTTAAGCACCGGACATAACAACGGATCCGCGGAGGGCGGGTCTCTCAAGGCACGGATCGGTAACATGGGCCTGAATCGGTGTCTATGCGGCGCTCTTGTTTAGTATTGGTTGGTAGTAATTCCGCCCTCACCTGTCCTCACAAGTTTCCGCTCCGTGGAGCTAACCCGGGTGGCATCCGGATCCCCATGCTCTGAGTCGCCGGCCGCTTGACGACGTCGTCGACCCTCGCCTTCTGTAGCGAGAACGCCGGCGTCACCCATCCGCCGCAGGAGCACCGAAAGCCCTTCCAGTCGTACCGGCCTACACCAGCGCCACACTTTGCATTGGGGCATAATAATCTTCCGTTGAGCTCTCCCTGTTCAAGGACCCCGCGCATCCAACTAAGTGGTTCGACAAAGTAATGCTGGCACGTAGACGCCGAGGACTTCTTGTCAGAAGGCTTGTGCTCCACAATGAAGGGTGCCGTGACCAAAGTTCGACGGCACTTCTTACATCGTAGACTAAGACCCGAGTCATCACGAGGCTGGGTCTCTTCATCCTCGAAACGAAGCCTCGTCGGTGCCTGGCCTACTGCAAGGTTCTCGTCGATTTCACGCTTGTAAGCCCACCGCTGATATACAGGGTGTGCTTCAACATCATCCGGGCAACCCATCTCCCACCACAAGGCTAACTGCTCCATGAAGCCCTCGTTAGGTTCAGCCATAGGTCGAGTTCTGCGCACAAACGTAAGTGCAGCATGGACAGCCTCCTTAGCGGTATCCTTTCTCGAACGCTTCTCCCCAGTCTGGGGAACCGAGTGGGCCGGGTCCGAAATGGCAGTCGGCGTGATATTGGGGTCGAAACGACTTGGATATCGCCTAAGCAAGTAAGCAATAACCGCCGAAACAGATCTCGACTTTCCAGCCGCACAGTGGACAAAGACGCCTCCCTTCTTCTTCCTCTTCTTCTCCCCCATATCGAGGTCCTCGACACCCTTCTCTAACGAGACGCCCCCATCCTCCTCATCCTTCGCAAGCCAGCTCGCGCCTAGACCTTCCTCGATAAATCTGACAGCCTTGGGCAGCTCGATCAGCAAGTCAGCGTCCTCCACATCGTCAATGTCGATAACTTGGTGTTGTAGGTCTTTTCCGTAATCGATCCACGGTTCGTCCTTGAAGTTTTTGAGGCTTGATATGTCGAATGGGACGAGGGAGAGGACATGCGTGATGCGACGATCCGTCAGCGAGTCTGAGCGGCGCAAAGCCCAGAGTCTGGGAAATAATTAGCACAGAATGTCCGTAAATTGTTTAGTGGTGGGAGAGACCTACCCTCCAACGAATAGCTCATCCTGGCCGTCGATCCTGCTGAGAGCCATTTGGGCGATACTTTGCTTGAGAAGGTCAAGCTCTCCAGGTTCAAATCTGTGGCCAAATTCCTCCCACTGCTGCGGCTTCGAATCGTCCTCCTGGTTGTCCTTGGATTTGAAAACCTTGTATGCCTGATCGGCGCTTGCGGAATCGTCTTCTGCCAGATTGTGCGCCTGTCACAAGTCGCAGTAGTGGTCTGGATATTCAAGATCCTTCGTAGCTGTTGGTATTCCAAGAATAATGATAGAGTCTGCAGTCAAAAGAAAGTGGTTCTTATAGATCAGTCATGCGAAACTCGAAACCGAGAAAGTAAAATAAATTAAGCTTCAACCTCGGTGTGAATCATGACTTCCACAACTTTTCCATCTTTTTGCCCCTCCTTCCACATTAAACTCTGCGCCACATCAATTTACCCCGCCATGCCATCAAGCGCCACACTCCATCTTGAGCTTCTCACCAGCCACACTCTCCCAAATCCCATCTTCAATTCAAAGCAACCATCGTCTCGTCTATTTCTGTCAAAAAACACAACTATCCCACGAATGGAATGTATCTCACAGCACGACCCGAACAGTGCAATTATACGGATTATCACGTGATCCATATCAATTCCGCGTCCAGGGTGGTGTTAGAGACATCAAACCCAGCCAGCTGAACTTTTAGACCCTTCAGCTGAACAACAGACAAATTTTACGCGACACGAATTGCCCAAATAGGGGTGGTATGCGCTTCAATTCCGCTGTGTTTTGTCTGATAATGGAGTTGCCGGTGCCCGAGGCAACTCTGCATTTAATTCTCATGTTTAGGCTTGAAGAGTGAAGGCCCTTTGGAAAGCCTCGTAGATCTTCCAACTAAGCCTTACAAAGAAATTGGATGTGCCGTCTTTTCCTGGTCCCTGCAACGGCCGCAACCTCAGCGTTGGGTACGCTATGTTTCACAGACTGCAACTGGCTGGTGCATCGCTTCACAATGGTTGAACAGGACAGAACACTGCAGAGACAACTGAGGTATTAAGAATTCGAGCTACAATTTTTATCTTGTCAGACTACTTTATATCTACATGACCGAGTCTGATATGTCCCTAACCTGAAATCCCGAACAATAAATAATAACAATGCCATGTGTCCCAATGCCGCGCCAATGAACCGTGACCGTAACCATGATTGAACCTTTTTGTACCGTGACCCATAAGATGATGCATACGACATCAGCATCAAGCTGTGCCAGCTAATATGTATACGAAGTGAAGCCTTTGTCCTCCCCATTTCACTTGCCGACATCCTCGCTCGCTTGCTGGTGAGTATTAGCTGAAGTGCTAACCTCTAAAGACAACGCCTGGGCTTTTTCTGCCATGAATCTCCTCTTGTATGTACTCCATTCCATTACCAAACTCCGGCAGTCTTCTAGCTCATCCGCGACTGGGTTGTCAGCAGGGATATCAAGCCCAGTCAGAAAGTAGCGCATCCACAGACGCATGGCCCCAGGCCTGCGTCTTCTCATTTGTGCCATCGCCTGCTTTTCATCCATCGTCAAACTCATTTCGCCATGTGCATTTCAGGTTTGTCGGGCAATGATCCTCCCTTCCACCTGAACCCTGGATCAGAAGACCATGGTTGATTGGTCACCACAGGTGCGAGTCCGCACGCAGACAGATTCCATGTCGCTTAGAGCTGCCGGTAAAACGTTAAAACGCCGTTGCAATATTCGTAGATGCAACGGAACATGCCAAGGTAGTATTTGGCCGTTGTCCCTCCCTTCCGACAGCACTGCCACATTCGTGCTTCAGCCCTGGGAGGCAGCCCAATGACTGGGTGCGGACAATCGCATCCCTACGCGCGTTAGGTGCACGCGGAATACCCCAATTGATCCGAAGAGATCAACGGCTGCATTGGAGCGGCACCTTGATTCGTTCTGGACTTGCCGCATCTGCATCATGCGGCAATCCGCCCACGAGATACAGAGTTTTCGCCGCGTCTGTCGTATGCTTTGCCGTTCCATATACTGTTCGGATAGCTGGTAGTCTGTTGCGGGCAGAACGTCGTACAATTGCCGGCGGCTTGTTGTTTCCAAACATCCCAACGGCTCCAGGACTGCAAAACGCTGATCAATTTCTTGGCCAGTGTTTCGATGCTGATCTTCCAATGGAAGCTCCATGGATTCTGACCCACTGATCCTTTTCCTTTCTCTGGGCGCCGGCGATTCCCTTTTTGTACCCCGCCCTCTTCCGACTGATCCTCCACTTATCTTGAATCACCAACACCCACCAGCGCTTTAGCATTGACTCGTCATTTGGCGGCCGAACCTGTAAGTCTTTCTGGTGCCCATCCGCGGCCGAACCTGTACTGTACTGTGTCGATTTACCGGGGAGTTGGGTCTTCCTCCAACATACAGGCATTCTCCAGCATGTTGGTCCACTTTCCACTGGTGCCCGCGTGGCTGTGCTTTAGGTGTTGTCTGAAGTGGTCCGCTCTGAAGAACTTTTTGGACGAGTTGCACTCTCGGAACTTGTGCACTTCCTGCAGGTGCCTGATACGCTCATCCCAGTCCTGGTCCGTGGCGTGCCGAGGCGCATTACCACCACTCAAAGCACCGGTACCAGGGCCACGTCCAGATCGTGGGAATTCATCGCCGCAGTACCCGCAGGTGTCAGCTTCGCCAGGTCTGTTGGTAGAGTCATGGAAAGCCCTATCGTATCCAGAGAGAGCTGAGCATGACCATGAATGACGGCGCACGTGGAGTGAGTTCTGGTGGCGCTCTGCCTCGTTCTTGTTCTTGAAACGATTGCCGCAGAACGAACACTCGTATTGCTTTTCAGCCTCGTGAGCGCTAGTTGTTGGTTAGCATTGAAATATATACGCGGAGTCCTATAATCTCACGCAGCCTCATCTGAAGTGGGGCTGCTGAGTGTGAAATCTTACTTACTTGAGTTCCTCAATCGTCTCGAACCTCTTGGGCTTCTTGGGGCAACACTCGCACATGAAGAAGCCTTGCACTTTAGTTCCGCCAGGCTTCTGCACCTCAGTGATCTTACGTGTGCTGGCACCCGAAACGGTCCTAGAGTGAATTGATCCCCGGCCAGAGATGGAGGTTCGAGGGCTTGGGTTGAGTGATACGGGAGCTGTGTAAGGCGAATTGCAAGATGTAGGTGAAATGCCACCGGGAGAGGGGCCCACAGGTGAGCGTCGACCGAATGAATTGGCAGTCGCAAGACCAGCAGGGTGCATCGACATTGACATGTTGGAGATGTATGAGTTGGATCGTGAAGTTGAGACCGAAGGCATAGTAGCACCTCGAGAAAGCGCGGTGTATCGACCTTGAGGAGATCCGCGTGAGCTAAGGTCCCGGCGTCGAGACATGTCTGGCATGCCAAGCATGTGCTCATCATTAGGACTGGCCGCCCGTCTCTTTTGGCCACCTTGTATATAAGCATCATCAATGTGCAATCGTTTGAGTGATTGTCCATCTTCCATCTCCATATCCTCAGCCCCAGTGAAGTCATAGCTATTTGTTGAAGTGGCATCGTCACTGTTATTCCTCTTTGTTCGTGTGCGAGGTGAACGATCGATATCTGAGCTGTCATTTGGTGATCTATCACCATGATAGAAGGGTGTGCTTCGTGGAGAGATGGCGGAGTGAATTGGTGTGTCGGTCAACCTTGCGGGAGATCCTAGAATACCTCGGGAGTGTATGGGAAGCTGAACTTGTAATGGAACACTGAGTGCTGGAGGGAATCGACCTTCCGCTGAAGGTCTTCGTGAGAGGAGCTCGTTGGCTGATGAGCTAAGAAGTGATCGAGGTGGTGACTTTTCCAAAGGACGAGTTTGGTCAAGCTTCTTCTTGAGGGTATCTCCATGTATATCGGCAGGGGATTGGAATTGGAAATGGTTGTGTAGGCGGCCAAAGCCACTGGGGGCAGATTCTCGGGACCTGTGATCATACAATGTTAGTTCATTGATCCAAAGTTCTTTCAAGCCATTGGAAGCTTGGATTGCACCAATGCCAGGTGCATTATACGCCATACCTATCTGTAGATGAGTAACTAGCATAACCTTCATCTCGTTCGCCGAAGGCGCCCGTGTTGCTTCTTCGCTGGTAGCTTGGGCGATCTTCATGATATGAAGAGGTCATGCTTCCGTAACCACTTGCAAAAGAGCCATGAGCATATTCCCGCTTTTCCCTCATACTTTCAGCCAAAGCACTAGGTTGATCGAAGCCGGGATATCGAGGAGGAGGTAGTGGTGGAGGAACGTCGTCTCTTGGTGGCATGCCAGGTATTGACATGGCAGGGCTCCCACTAAAAGGCAATTCGTGGTGATGACTCGCGTGGCTTCGAAAACGGTCGCCTGAGGTAGGAACTATAATGCTCGGGAGAGCCGGAGCAGGCTCTCTATATTGAGGAGGAAAGGCCATATTGCTGTTGTGAAATTGGAAAGCTTGGCAGTTGGGATGACTCTAGCTGAAGATGGAGCAGAGGCAAGACAATGACAGCTGAAGTTCAGGGAGGCTGAAGCTAGGATGACATAGGCCCGAGACTAATCCGTCATAGAATAGACGGTTGTCGAGAAGGTAACGGTTTCTCGGTTAAACTGTTGATGACCTCTGTTCTTCCCCGTTTGCGGCCTCCTTTTTTTACTTTGAAGATCCGGCCGAAATAAACAAGCGATGTTGTTGGTGCTAGGGTGTTACGATACGGGGTGGTTGTGTGGTGGCGATGATGGCTTCGGGGTATCCGTCTGGTCAGTCCAAGACACAATAGGTGCTCTGCAGAACCTGGTGCAGCTGGGTCCGCGTCCGCCAATGCCGTAGCGAGGAAAAGGTCGACGAATGACAGAGCGTATCGGGGATGCTGTTTGAAAGTGGAGGAATGCTGTTGTTTACTTTGGGAGTATATATTTATTGGTTGTAGATGAAGAGAAGAATCAAGAAAAGGGTAGAAGAAGAATATAGAGCCAATATGAAGAACCAGCAAGTGCGGGATGTGGTATAGAAGAATCGGATGGGAAAAGGAAGGTGGGAGGCAAAGCGGCTAATAAGTTCAATCTGCACCTTACGCATCAAGCACCTCACCTCAGGTTAATGGGAGATCCAGCGTTGACGTTGACGCTCTGGCGCTGTTACACCCACTGTTCCTGGCGTCGGCAAGCGCTGTCGTCAACCCCTGTAGATACGCCTACGGGGGTGGAGCATAGGGGTGAGTCTGAACTGGGCTAGCAGCTGGTAGGGTACGGTACAGAAGGGGGAAGGGCTGAAGATGGGACCCGAGAGTGCAGAATGACAGGGCAAAGCAGCTCTGGAGATGAAAGCCCAGACAGACAAGACAGCCTAACCTTGCAACACAACGCAACGCAACGCAACGCAACGCAACGTGAAAAAAGAATGGGGCGGTAGCAGTGACGATATCTGCACGCCTCATTTCCTGTGTTCACAGCTTATTCCCGTTCTTGAACTATTCGAAAGTGGTAATAAGATGTGACGGAGGGGAACAAGATACAAGCTGAAGAAGGGAAAAAGAGGTGGGAGCATGAGCAAGCAACAAGACGGACGGGGGGAGTGAGCATCTGCCGATGAAGGGGGGTGTGAGGACATCCACCAGCTGCCAAAAGACGAAGCCAAGACGAGTGCAATATCAAAGTCTTTTCTGTTTTGCTAACGAGACTCTCTCTTTCTACCTGCCTACTAGACTGTTCTGTCAACTGCCAGACATGCCATGCCATCGTCACCCGTTCGCTTGCTCAAGATGGGAGCTGCATATCCGTCCCTTGTACTGTAGCATCAGTGCGTTCGTTTTCCCTACAGAGCAGTTATTGAGGCACAGGGACGGAACGGGTGTGCAGTGGCATGTCAAAGGATCCTATCCTATTCATCCACGGACGGGCTTGCATGTGCTACCAACAACTGTCAGTACGAATCACCCACAGATTTGTTAGCTGACATTGTCAAGATCATGATGGGCTGCATCTCAAGAAGCCATGGAAAAAAAAGGTGATGTGATAGCTCCTCCACTTGGCTCTTACATAAAACGCCGTATTACACTCAACCTCTCCAAACGCTGAGAATCGTCTTACAGAGGAGTCCAGCTGCTTACCTTTCCCAACTGTTTCTCATTTGGTCCTCCGTACAGACAAGAGGAGCAGAGCAGAACAAGGGGGTGCGGTATCAATCTGGCTCTGCGTTCCGCTATTGTTGTTGACCAGAGAAGGGTCCCGCAAGTCGTTTACAGGGGGTTACCCCCGCTCCGACGGTGCTCCTGAGAGCCTTTGACTGCCCTGCCCTACGGACTCTCGTTTGAGATGGGCTCCATCAGAATACCACCCTGCCTTGTAGCCCTGCGCTGCTCTCTCTGCCCTGAAGGGCTGGACTGACTGGGCACTTGGGTGTGGGCGGAGCACGAGTTGCTGGGGGTTAGCCTCCCGCGGGGAGAGGGGTGTAGGGCAGGGCAGTCAATGGAGCGTTGTTGGACGCCTTTGAGGTGTTGGTCTAGCAGGGTACCAGATCTTGGCTGCTGGCCAATGTACAGAATCTGACCTTACCTTGCCTTACCTCTCTCACCTTTGAGATGGAGTCATGATCCCTTGCTCACCTGCGCGACCCAGCCTACCCACTGAATCGGTATTGCTATCCGCACATTCGTCCACCCAATCCTGCCTCCTCTTGACGTTGACGGCCATGTTCCATATTCATAGAAACATCCGTGGGTGGTAGCATCTGCATGAGATGCTTCACATTCACTCAATCACGCCCTACGACATTGCAGTGCAGGACAGGCTTCTTCCCTGCTCCGTTGCCGGCTTGCTTCTTTTTTGCTTCCGCTTCCGCTTCTCTCGCCTGCAATGCTCACTGGTCACTCAAGTGCATCCCGTCCGCCTCCCGTAGCTATTCCTAGCCTCAAACCCACCAACAGCCAGCAAGAACCCATGGATATTTCGCCTTGGCCCTATAATACACCTTTGGCCAACGGCAGTTGTGATTTGAATAACACCTCGCAGGTTACAGCCGAGCCAGGGCATTCTGAGTCTGGGCTTCTCCTCTTTCACTGTACGAATGTCGTGGCTTGGAGTCGCCTTGCGGTCGTCTTGGCCCTAATACGCCGTCATTCCTCTATGCCGCCTCGTCATCAACCTCGTGGCCGGCCGGTTGGGCTTTCCCCTAACCCACGCGCGCCACGGCCAGAGTGCTAGAGCCTGAACCTATTTGCGTTAATACGGTGCCGACGGTACTCGGTCAACGGTCGCGACCTGGAGCGAAACCTTTTATCTCATTATCATTGGCACATTCCAGCCTCAAAAGAAATGCCAAGAACGATCCGACTTTGCAATATTGAGGCTCAGCGGTGAGTGGGAGCCTTTCATTTCTCATTCCTTGGTCAGCGACCGATGGCATGGAAGATACGGGGTAAATGACTCGACTACGCTGATTCAATCCAAGATCAGCAGCATCGACAGAAGCCCAATCTTGAGAACCGCGCGAAAGAAAATACAGGACGTTTGCAAATACGCGTTTTCGCCCCATCTCTCGTGCAACCTGCCAAACACAAAAAAGGCTAGGGACAACCGCTTGGACATGAAATGTCGCTGTGTCAGTCTCACTGGACATGAAGCCACGCCGAGCACGCGGTTTCCAGCAGACGAAATGTCATTTTAGAGCAAACGGGAATAAGAGAACGCCTTGTAGTGACATCCCTTCTCGGGCAATTGCTGCAAACGTACGTAAACGTAAACGCACTATCTCTCAGGATTGCAAGTGAATTACGAAATGTTCTCCATGGATAAAACCCCGCGGGTAAAGAAGTTTGGAGATCTTGCCTAACGAGCCAGGATCATCCCAAGCGGATCCCCCTTGAATGATATCTCCCTCAATAGGGATCGCCTGACGACATGCGACAGACAAGACAAGTACAGCACAGCACATGAAGTGAAAGCGGTTAGATAGACAACAGGCAATTCTTGCAGCATGCGTGCGCGTGTGTCCGTCATTGATTCTGTTCATCTGTTTGGTACGTTTACGCAATCCAAGTTTGTGGCTGCTGTCAAGATGCTTCCAGCCCTAGCTAGTCGAGTCTAGTCTCATCCTCCAATCCTCATTGACATCTCATCAATGTTTTAGCGAGTCACTTGCTTTATGATGCTTGGCTCATTAGGTTCCCTCATGAATCTTTACTCCGCCTAACCAAACCAAATGCCAGATCCTAAGGCATTCGAGAATGGATCTGTCTGAGAACGGCGGCCTCCGCCCGCTAGCACGAACAAGCAATTCGGCTGCCTAGACTATCGGTTTCTAGTATAGAGTCTCCATCAAGCCAAACAGCTAGTTTCAGCATCTTGCAGACCCCGTCTCGTTCAGGATCCCACGACCCAGAGAAAAAAAGCTGAGAGCCAACACGGACGGACGTGGTGGGAATCCCTTGGTGGTCGTGTCCCCCCACTTAGACGTCCGTGTTAGTCGTCGTGGCCTGGTCCCTGCACCCGGCCAAGGGAGCGGATAGCGAAAGCATAGAGCATCGACGGTTCGATACGACCTTCTGATGAACCCATTCTGGCTTGGTTCCTCCTGATGATTGATCCTCCCTCACCATGAACGAGCGAATCTAATCCGTCGGGTGCACGACATTCCAGAAGAGGCAGGCAGTTTTGGCTGTGACCCTCTCAAGGCATCAACCAACTGCTGCTGCTGCTACTGCTGTCCAAGGCATTGTTTGTCCAAGGTAAGGGTCTGCATGTATGTGGTGTTGAAGATGGAGTCGTGGTCCTCAGAGCAGGACCGATTCTTGTTTACGATCAACGTGTTACGAGGCTGCAGGTTCAATCTGGTCATGGTGGTGGTAATTAGCTTTGTTACAGGTTACCTCGTTTGGAATACAACAAGTTTCGCAACCTCAGCTACACCAAGTTAATGAGGATTACAAGATGATTACCAACCCGGCACATGAAAGATCGTCCCTGTCTAGAGTTTAAGCCTCCAGAGTCCAAGGGATGACTGGAAATTGGCGGTAAAAGGTCCCTAACTCCGCTCTGCACCTCACCTACCGGTATTGTACTAAGCCCTACAGTATCCCTAACTTCCATTGCAACGCAAGCTGTGCTCTGTCGTGTTGCACTGAGTCGTGGACTTCCAGGTCCAGGTCTCTCTGGGTCCCATCTGTCTCCATTCATGGGAGAATTAAGTTTTTGACCAAGTGGGGAGAGAGAGGGAGAGTACCCGCGTACCCTCGTGGCTTGTTAGTACACGCGCCACACTTTTTCGGACCTCGGCCGGGGTCACTTGGTTGGTGGCGCCTACGGCAGGGCAGGTTAGCGGCCTTTTTTTCTTTTTTGGCTCTCAGCCCTACCATGGGATTGCAGTCTTGGCATCTGTTGAATTGCCTGTCCAGTCCTAGGGCTGTCTTTGTGGTGTGCTGAGATTTGTACTGCCAA